TGGGGAATTCTGGGAGTTGAAGTCCACTCATCTTAAAGCGGCCAAGTTTGGACAACACTGCTCTATTAGGACATGCAGGCTGGGCAGATTCTACATGAAACTGACTGACTGACTATGTGCCATCAACTCGTTTTCAACTCCTCGCGACCACATAAATAGATTTTCTCCATGTTGATCTATCCCTAACCTGAAATACATGGTTCTAAAAATAACGAGAGCCCCAGCTACAAATACTTTGCAGTACCCAATCTGAGCAGCTTGGGATTATTTTTTAACTCTCACATTTTTCTCTTCAGCATTCCTTATGTAGCTCATCTGAATCCCTTCTTGTTGACCCTGAGACTGTGCCCGGTGATTTGCCTGGAGGTGACCACATTCCCTTGGTGGAAGGAGGAGTAGCAGAGAAGTTTGCCCGTAGCCTGGACAGTGTCTCCATTGCTTCGTTTTCCTCCTTGGCACCAAGTCCTGGGCCTCCTGTCCGGCGCAGGCGCCCCCCAAGTCCTGAGACTTCTTCCATCGCCTCCTCAACTGGGACCTTGGTGCCTGAGACTATTTATCTACCACCAGCTGGATACCAGCTTGTATCTGAATCAGAGTGGGCTCAGCTCCAAGAACAGGTTTGTGTGTGGAAGGCAAAGATAGCTTATTGATATATTTCTGTGTATTCATTTAGGGTGCTTTCTGTGCTACCTTTCATAACTTCTTATGTATAGAAAGGACATTATGTTCCAAATTATCTACTGTACATTTATTTTCCACCTCAGGTCTCCATAAACTTTCCTTTTATCTCTCCACCTCTCTTGCGCCTATCCACTCATGCTGTTTCCTGGTCTTCTTCCTTCTCCTGACTTTGGCTGTACCATTTTCCTTGGCATTAGGAAATTAGCATCCCAGTCTGATATTGAAAGGATGTGAGAGTATTACAGAAATGGTTTAGACCAGCTTTCTACTTTCTGCTTCAGACCAGCTTAAAAGTTTGTGAACCCGTTTGAATTTTCAACATTTCTGCGTAAATATAACCTAAACATCATCTGTACTCCACATGTCCTAAAACTAGATAAAGTGAACCCAATTAAACAAACGAGTCAAAAACATTACACTTGTTCATTTATTTATAGAGGAAAATGATCTAAAGCTATATATTGGTGTGTGGCAAAAGTATAATAATGTTTTTGACTCGTTTGTTTAATTGGGTTCTCTTTATCTAGCTTTAGGACTTGTGTAGAGAACAGAACACGTTAGTTCATATTTATGCAGAAATATTGAAAATTCAAAAGGGTTCTGCCACGGAAGAAGGCCTTGTGTGGCCAGCAACTGCCTCATGAAGGGCCAGGCCCAGCACGCCTCATCAGCAGTGGGAGGAAGAAGATGGCAAAGGTCAGTTGGGCGCAGCAGGGGCAATGGAGTGCAGGACAGCGGTGGTGTAGGGTGGAATGCAGGGTGGTGGGGTGGTGGAGTGCGGGTTGGCAGGGGTTGTGGGGTGCAGGGCAGTTGGGGGTGCAGGGTGCAGTGCAGGGCAGCCAAAAGGGCAGAGATGTGGGGGAGAGAGAGGGAGGTGGGGGGAGGTGAAGCGGAGGCAAACACAGCAAGGGAGAAAAAGTCTGAGGTACTCATCTAACAATGGTGTGGTCCCTGGCCTAACAACCACAACCAGAACTACTGAAACTCTGTCAGTTAGCCATGCGATCACATGATGTTTCACCTAACAACCGCATCACTTAGTGACAGAAGTTCTAGTCCCAGTTAGGGTTGTTAAGCGAGGACTACCTGAGTTCTATTTTGCAACCTCTTCTTGAGGGTGTGATTGTTAAGGGGTGAAATAATGCCCTAAACCTCACCTTTTAAACATTTAAATGCTTGTGTAGGCTTAAAACACCCATTTTCTTCCTTAAACCCTTCCCCCAAATACATAAATTTCAACTCTGCCTATTTCAGAGGAGGGGGCACTATAGAAGTACAAGATTGTCCATCTCTATTATAGGAAGATGAAAAAGGCAACTAGCCTTTAAATTGGGCTTTCTCCATTGTAGCCCCCAGCTATAAAATACCCTTCTGATTGAGGCCTCCTGGTTCTGTCGCCTTGGGATATCTGGCACATAGTATGTAAGAGCATGGTCAGGCTCCTTGGTGGAACATTTGTGGGCTGAGGATGAATTTACTTGATAGTGATTCTGTATAGTCAGTATTGCTGGTGGTGGTTTTCAGGGCTTCTCTCTGCTGCCTTTGTACTTTGGTATTATTCAGTTATTGTCTTAAAGAGGATTTTTAGCTGCTCCAGAAAATCTTTTGGAGAAGGATATTACAGCTAGCTCACAATTTTTTCATAGACTGTCATCAACTGTGTAACTCCCAGAGGGATAATTCTTATTAGCATAGTGGGAAATACAGGTAGTCCTTGCTTAACACGGGAACTGGGACCAGAATTTCCATCCCTAAGCGATGCAGTCATAAAGCATGACGTTACATGACTATGCCACTTAGCAATGGCAGTTTCGGCAGTCCCAGTTACTGTTGTTAAATGAGGACCACACGGGTTGTTAAGCAAGGACCTCACATGATCATAATTTCTGACTTTCTGCCGGCTTCCCCATTGCCTTTGCTTGTGAGAAGCCAGCAGGGAAGGCCGCAAATCACAATCATGTGACCGTGGGATGCTGTGACAGTCAGAAATCTGGGCCAGTTGCTGACCGCCCAGATCATGATCATGTGACCGCAGGGGCCACTGCAATGGGGGGAACTTCAAGGACCAGTTGTAAGTACCGCTTGTTCAACACCATCGCAAGTTTGAATGGTCTCTGAACAAGTGGTTGTTAAACGAAGACCACCTAAAGGAGAATTTTGAGAAGTGAAAGATGTGATGCTAAAGGCCTTCCTTCCTTTCCCCTCCCCTTCCCCGCCCCAATCCTTGGTGGCCTCCTCAGGTGCAACAGCAACGTGAAGCTCTGGAGGAAACAGCACAAGAGAAAGCTAACCTAGAAGAGGCACTGAGACGTAGCAATGAAGAGTGCAGTAAGCAGGTAAGCTCCATGACTTGGAACTCATGCTCATTCTAATGTTAAATTGGATTCCTGTTCTGTTCTGTCCTTTCTCTAAGGACCTTGAGATGGAATACAGGATTATACCCATCTATCCATAAATCATATGAAAATAAAACAACAAAACACTAAATATGAAAGGGCAGGGATGATACCAAATAACCTATATAAAAACACTGTTGCAACACTTTAAGTCTTCAAGTTGAATTCAACTCCTGATGACTTCATAGAAACGTCCAGATAGGTTTTTTGGCAATAATGTGGAAGTGGTTTGCCATTGCTTTCTTCTGGAATGTTTTTACTTCCCAGTCTGGCCTATCATTCCTTAAATTTCCTGGAGATCTTTAAATATTAACCAGACCTGAACCTGCTTAGTGTCCAGGCCAGGACAAGTTCTTTCAGATGTTGTCACCTTCTGAAACTTTTTCAGTACAGTACTGCAGTTAAAAAATATTCAGTCTATTTATGAGAAGAGGAAAGTGTTTGCCTGGTATTCCAGAAATAATTTTGGGTGGTAGGCTGCTGTCCCACAACTGAGAAGACTGAAGACTTCATTCATCTGAGACTTGTCGATAAAAATCTCTAAGGATGGTCTAGATTTCTGGGCAGATGCATCTAGGAGGAAGCATTCCTTGAGATACTATAGCTCCAACCTATGTAGGGCTTTAAATATCAACAGCAGCTGGTTGAACTGGATTCAGAGATGGATTTAAATATTCATCTAAGAAATAATGTATTGGGTGAGCCTAGCCCCTAAGCCATAAATTAAAGTCTGTAAAGGTTGAGTTTACACCAGATGTTAAGCCAAAATAAAGACACATTACAGCTTATTGTATTCTGCGGACCTAGCCACAGACTTGCTAAAGATAACATGAAGATCATTGGTAGTTTGGTGATTTTAACCTGGCATTCCAATTGTAGAGCAACACCTTATCCATTGTGCACTGCTAGCTCTTGCACAGAATACCATCTTCAGTTTCCACAAATCGGATTTTCTCCCTTTCTCTTTTTTTCTTTCTGAGCAGGTTCAAGTTCTTTTAACTCAGATCCAGACATCAGAGCACCTTCTTCAAGGCCTCCAAGCCACTGTGAGTGAAACCCAGCGGCAGACACAGGAGCAGATGGTGAGTATGGCAGATGGGTGACAGTGCTGGGAGTGAAGCACAGTATAGCAGGGGAATCAGAAGAGAAGCTTGGGAAAAAATATCCTGCTATGATGTAGGCAATTTGGGATCTTTAGAATTCAGACTTTAGGTAGGAAGAGTTCCAGGGCTGTTGACTTGTTAATTTAAATGCTACCTGGCTTTCTGCAGCAGAGGCTGAAAAAGTATGGTAGGAATTGAATTGCATGTCTGCGATGAATAGAGCTGTGAAACACAGTATGCTTGTCCAGATGCAACTATGCAGCACACCACTGGGGTCTTGAGAATAGAGGAAATCCTGTGTGTTGCACTTCTGATTTGTCAACAAAGAGTTGCAAGTACAAGTTTTTGGCAGGGCCTGCAGTGTTTTCCAATCAGGGATAAGGAGTTGGTTTACCTTACATATTGTGAGATGTCTTGAATAGAGTTTTCTTCATGGAAATATGGCCCATATATTTCTGTCTCATCTCATCTAAATGTGCCAACAGGCACAGCCCTTCCATGGTCTATACCTTGTCCATTGTTGATTTGACAATTCCAGACCCTTTCCTTGCTCCTAAACTCTGTGCCTGCTGTTTTGGATAAGTATTTTTCAGAGGCCGTCATGTGGGAGCCTCTAACATTTAAATCCTCCCTTGAAGACATCAGTGGATGGGTAAGTTATTGGTCGCTGTCTGTTCCTCCCTCCCCTTACGGTTGTCTTCCAGGCTGATTTGGCTGCATCCCACAAGCGTCTCAGCTATGAAGTGCAGCGTCTCAGTGCCGAGAATGAAGGGCTGCGGGGGATAAGTTCCCAGAATCCTCACCCAACAGATGAGACTAGCAGCTTGCCCAGCACGGTGCCGGTACCTATACTCCAACTTCTGCTGGTATTGGGGTTGAGGAATGAGATTTGTTGGTGTTGTACAGATTGGACTTCACCTTAATAAAACAGACTTTTTCCCGATCTTTTTGCATCTCCAGGAGCTACAAGCCATGGTGCGCAAGCTGAAACAAGAATCTGCCTTGCAGCTTCGGGCTGCAGAGCATCAGGCTGAGCGCCTGCGAATTGAAATTATATCCTTGCGGGAGCGGCTGGATGAAGAAGCAGCATCTCAGTCAGGCCTGCAGGGTGCGCTGGAGAGAGAGCAGGAAGAAAGAGGTGGGCAGGGGAAAGGTGGCCTGTAAAGAGTGATGGTGGTCCTGATTGTACAGTTAGGAATAAACCTCTAGAGTTGGCAAGTGCTAAATTTTTAAAATCAATACCTGTGCATTTAGAAGCTTGATATCAGAGCCAAGGAATTCTGTTTAGCACTAACAGTTTCTTCTTTTTGTTTCCTTTTCTCCCGCTGCTTCTGACCGAAAGAGCTTTTGCAAGGTAAGATGATCTCAAGCTACGTGGTCCATATATTTCCATTGTACCATTTATGCACGCTCATGAACCAGACTTCTTCTTTGTCTTGCTTCCCAGCTTCCTTGAATAGTATTCAGAGTGAGATGGAAAGGCTGCAGCAAGGGCAAGAAGAGCTGAAGAGAATTCAGGTATTCTTGAATTTCTGCCTAGAAATGTTGTACTTCTCAAAGCTTGGCTCCACTGTATTTCTCCAGTCTGGTGTCCTGCAGATATGCTGGCCTGAATTCTCAGAGATTTCACTAATCTCCCAATGTCTGGTACAATCTCAGGGAATTCTGGGAGTTCAAATCCTAACCTGTCTGGAAGGCGTCACTTTGGGGAAGACTATGTATTTCTGTCCCATCCACACCTTTCAATTTCTCTTGTCATAAAGCAGTCTGCTCCTCCTGTAATTTACCAATTTGAGTGAATACTTGATTTTCTAATCGAATTTCAGTAAACATTAGCACTTGGGCATGCAGAAATGCCTGCACCACAGCACTGGATTATTATGTTTGGCTTGTGGGTTCCTAACTTGTGTAAGATTGGTTTAGATAAATTTGTTGCCAACTTGCTAGGCTCTTTAAACACTAGAGTATTTTCTCCAAGCAAAAAGAAAAGATCAGGACCAGATGATTCCATGTTAGGCTGTAAAATCAAGGGAAAGACATGAGAGGAACAAAATGCCTCTTAAATTGCCCCATTATTTCTCAGAACCAATTTCCCACAAATGATGCTGGGAAAGACATTTCTCTGTATTTCTCTAAATTCTGCTATGCACATATGCTAGGCCTCCAACTCTTCTCTCTAGGCATCATGATCAATTTATCTGAAGGACCAGATTAGGGAAAGCTGCAGATGCTCTGTTAGTATGTTGGAGAAAATTGAGGCACTTGAGAATCCTGCTTCTAACTAAGAGCGAAACCATTTCCTCGCTTGAATTTATTAGCAATTGCTGAATTACAGCTGTGTTGGATTTCAAGGTTCTACAAAAATGATCCAAATTAATTGGATTTGAGAAGCTGATATCCACATTAACTCTTTAAATCTATCTCTTAGTTCTAGCCTTTTACTAAGTTGCCTTTTAGATTTACGTTTTAAGAAAATGACCACACTGGCATTTTTTCCAAACATTTCTAAAATGGCCCCAAACAAATCAGTGTAGCTCTAATGTAGGCACCTTAGCAGCTGACCAAACCACTTTAGGTAAAGCCTGGTTGCCACAGCTCTCTAGTGCAGAACCTTGGAACTTCTGCATGAGTCCCAAGCTGGAGGAGTACAAACATTTGGAAATGGGAAGGCAAGAAGGGAATGTGATTGAAAAACAATGGCAAAGTCATATCTAGGTCAAAGAAGAAAGGCCCAGCACAGATTCAGATGAGGCAGGTCATTTTTCAGAACAACTTCAAGCAGTATTAGAGTGTTCTAGAGCAATTTAATATATTGCCTGTTCTCTTTATAGGCATGTTATAGTGTACTATTTCCTATGGTGAGGAAAGCTGTCTCCCCAACGAGTCCGTAACCCTTGCTGTCCTCATTAATCACGTTCTGTGCAGTAACAATCAGCTATTTCCAGAGCGGTGTGTTTATCACTGCTATCCTCAGAACTTCATTTTTCAGTGCTTAAAAAAAAGTTTTAACTCCTGAACTGTGAGAAGAAAAGTGTGAAAGGATGTGGGCAAAGCAGAGATACAGTACAGTCCTAGCACTGTCTTTTCTGATGGTGAACCAGTCTGAAGACAAAGCCTTGTTCAGATGGAAGGCACTGTCTCATTAATTATATTAATAAACATGGATCAGAAACAGGCAAATGCTTGCCTTTCTCCCAACAGCCAGAAGCGACACTCAGATGTGATAACTGTAATTCTTGATGATAGCTGTTGGGACTGGGCATATTTGTGTGGATGGACCTCTTGTTCGAATTGTGACAAGTGAGAATGGCACCTGTCATTTTTGTTTGTGCACATGAGTGCTTCTGGCAATGTCATGTACTTTGGGGGATGCGAGAGACATTTGTGGGGCTCAGTCATCTTCCTTCCTTATATTATAGATGCAGCCTGATGTGAGAGAAGCCAGTAGACTCCCGGGGAGGCCAGAGCCTTAGACTGAGGATGAGGAAATTGGGCCTCTCTGTCTTCCCATCCCTGACACCCCAGGAACTCAGGGAAATCATGACTTTCCAGGCACCAAAGGGTCAACTTTCTCCTCCAGAGCCTCCCCAGGTCTTCTCTCTGCATGGGTAGGAGTACCAGAACTCTGGAGGTAGGGATGGCCGGGTTCTTTTGTTACTCCCCCCACCCCTTGTCCGGACACTGGAGCCTCCAGAGCACAATAAACGAGTTGTTTTTTTTATATCCTCTTTAGCCTGTGCCTCTCCCTTTCAAGGATGATTAATTAAGGTTGGGGTGGGGGTAGCACAGAGCATTATGACCCTAGGAAAAATGCACAGCATGGGCACCAACGCAAGCGGCATATCCCTACTCAAAACAACAGTATTGTGAATAGTGGCACCCCACTTTTCAGGATACAATTGCAGCTTACAAGCAATATAAACAATTATAAATAAAAGCATAATAAATATTATTTTGAAACAAAACTATGTTATCTTAGCTCTTTTGCACAAGGCACTTGGGAAGAGTCCAGCTAAATGGGCTTCTGTGGGGACTGTTTCCTGCTTTCTTCCTTTTGTCTTCTCTTCAGAGGTTGTACCAATCTTCGTCACACAGCTTGGGTTCACCCTTTGCACCAAGTTACAATTGTTGAATAAACCACAGTGGTTATATCCCCATATCATGCTAAGGCAAACCCAAACAAGCTACATTATTGTTTAGCATGATGTGTGAAACCAAATACAGTTCCCACCAACAAGCCTGTGAAATCAGCTTGTGTAGATGTCAGACTTACAGCTCCTAGCTCAAATATTCAGCTGCAGGCTTTCCTAAATACTATGTCCTTGAAAATAGCCAGTTTAACTGGGACTTCCAGGTGGGGGAAATGGCAGATTGACGCATCTCCAAAAGCATGGAGATGACACTGAGACTGGAAATTTTACTGGGCAGTGAGCCCGGTCCTGTGGAGCTTCTCCGGACAAGGAGAAGCCAAAGAAATCACCCACGTGTGCTCCGGACCACAGCTGCTCACAAGGAAGCCTGTAGAGTCTGAAAGGAATCTGCAGGCATCTTGTGAGTAAAGAGCATGGGGAACCGGGAAGGAAGGCTTGCAGCCTCAGCAGGGCCTTTAATGGAACCTGGGGTCCCTCCAAACCCCACTTTTTTAAACACTTTGGATTACAACTATCTTAACAGCTTAAGAGTTCTTTGGAGCCGCAGTTTAATTGGACCATCCAGTGAGTGCTCCTGCAGCATGTGACATATTTAACAGAAAAAGAACAGACAAATTAAAAATGAACTTGCAGCAAAAAGCACATTAAAGGTTTGCACTATAAAAGTTTTACACATATAAAAGGACCAATGGTATTTTTATAGATTATTTAAGTTCCTGTAAATTAAATACAGGTAGTCCTTGCTTAATGGGAGACACAATAGGGACTGAAAAATTGGTCGTTAAGTGGGGTGGTCATTAAGCGAGTCACCATGTGACTGGACCCAATTTTATGACCATTTTTACACTGGTCACTAAGCAAATCACATGGTCATTAAGCAAATTCAGCTTCCCCAATGGACACTTTTTGCCAGAATTTGCTTAACAACATGATTTGCTTAATGACCATGGTGATTTTCTTAACGACTGTCATAAAGTCACAAATTGTGGAGTCCTTGGCATCATAAATCATGATCACTTGACTGCAGGGGGTGGTGGGATGGTTTGTGATGGTCATAAGTGCGAGTACAGGTTGTAAAGCACTTTTTCTGAGGCTGTTGTAACTTTGAACTGTCGTTAAACGAATTGTCGTTAAATGAGGACTACCTGTAAATAGCATGTACCTCCATGGGAAAGTGTTTTATTTTAAGTTCTCCAAGGAAAATGACTCATGGACGTTTTTAAACAAAAAAGACAAGAGACAATCCTAAAAGTGCAGAAACTGTATGAGAGTAGAAACATCGAGACTAAGGGATCATCGTGAAAGTGCATAGATTGAAGAATTATGGGGAAAAAATGGGCAAAGGCTTGCTTTTTTTGACTTTTTTATTTTTTGGATTACAAATTAAGACAGAGAAAGATGGCCACTACCAGAAAAGCAGTGAAAGAAGGGAGGGGAGGATTGTTGACTGATTAATTTGCAGGGATTACACCTGAGATTTTACAGAGGACGTTTGAAGGGATAGTGGCTGTGACAGCGACCATAGAGGAAAAATTGGTGAATTTGGAGGAAAGAATGAATAACATTTTGAAGAATCTGTAATACAGATCAAAGATGAGGTTCAAACAAATTAAGGACAAAGTAGAAATCCTGGGATTTTATATATGGTAACTGCAGTGAGGTTATTATAAGCACAAAGATGGTAGAGAAATACAGTACCCACAATGGAGGAATGGATCATGAAGATGGTAGAGTTTGCAGAAATGACAAAATTGACTTGTTTGATTCAGGAGGGAACAATAATTATTTTTTATAAAAGACTGGAAACCCTTTATGGACTTTTTGCTGAAAATGGAGAAAAATGAACTGGTGATTTAGGGATTTACTAATTAAAAAGTTGTTTATGGAAAGAAGGGAACCTTGATATGTAATTTGGGAGGGTGGAAATGGTAATTATTATGCTTGCAGCTGCTGCAAAGAAGATTGAAAGTCGCTTCTTTAGATATTTTTCTTTTTCCTTTTCTTAGTCTTTTCCTGTTTTTCACTTTTTCTTTTATCTATCATATCTTTTTCTTTTTTCCACTTCTCTTTTTATGTTTTTGTAGCCTTTTAATTCTGTGTAAAATCATTTCTTAATAAAAATTATATATATAAAAAAAGAAAATGTCCAGTTTAACTTTAATCCTACAGGGTAATAAGCATAGATTTAGAGCCTGAAATGTAACCATGGAAAGTGACTATGTGTAATTCTACCCTTTCACTATTAGTATGGATTTAGATCAGGTGCAATGTGCAAAGGAATTTTTTCCCCTTGGAACAAAAGAACAGCTGGTGCCTGGGGTGTATACTTAATACTTTCACTTAAATCACTATGGCCAGTTCTTCTCCCACACAGTATTTTTTCTGCATCAAAATTTTGACACTTTTATTAAACACTGGAATGGAAAAGAGGCTTGGATCCATAAATGCTCAGAAATAGAAAAAAAAAATCCCTCTATCCTAGAAAAAAGCAGATTGAGAATTTACTGCAAAAACAACTGGAACAGCAATGCTCTTGCATCCACACAGAGAATCTATGATCAGTACAGAGGGTTTTGACTTAAATCCATTTTCTATGTCCTACTGCAGTCTTTCCCAATTTAGTTTACCTTGGGGTTCAGAGGTCATAGTGCCTGGAGATTGTGGGAATTGAAATTCAAGAAATCTGGAGCTACCAAGTTGGGGAATTTAGGTAAGTTTTTATTGGTTAGATTTATACCCTGCCTTTCATCTAAGAGCTGAAGACTATACATAACATTCCCTCTCCCAGTTTTTTCCCAACTCTGTGGGGCAGGTTGGACTGAGAGGGTGACTTGCCAGAAATCACTCTGCAAGTTTCCATGGCTGAGTAGACTTGAACCAGGATCTCTTTGGTGCTACTCCTAAGCTTAAAACTGGAGTCCCAATATGGCACATCTGGATACTACCATACTTGCAGATATCTCCCAGGGCTTTTACCAGACTGTGTGTAAAAAAAACCCTCCTTAATTAAGAATGGGAAACAGATGTTGATACTGCAGTGATTGTACTGTGTTTTATATTGTTGTAAGCCACTGAGTCAATTACAATTCAATACTATATAACTTAAATACTGTAAATAAAATGAAGTAAACATGTAACCCAATGTTTGTTAAGAAGTAGGTCAAGCGGTTAGAAAATAGACAAAACAAGAACAGTAAAAGGGGAGACCAGAGGTGGCTGGCAGATAGCATTCTGGCAATTCGGTGTTTTATAACTAGATTGTTATGAATGGCTACTCCTCCCAGTAGCCATTATGAGAGTACTCAAAATATGTTCTCAAAATACCAAATGTCCCCACTTGCCCAATGAGGTTGGGGACTCCTGCCTTATACCAAGCCTAAACACCTGTGACTGATCAAACTGAAATCAAAATTTACTTCTCTTCTAGGGTTTCTCTTTTGTAAAAGTTTAGGCTATGAGTTCCTGGTGGCTGACATCTGTTCTCGTTTACATTCTAATTTTTATTCACATTGCTCTATAATAGTGGCAGTTTTCAATATTTTCATCATCTGGACCCATGGAAAAGAATCCCTCATCAAATTCCCTCATGACAACAATAACTTCCATCCTACCATCAATCTCAGCCTTGACCTTTCTACAAAATAAGTCCACTTCCTGGATGTCACGATAAAACTACGCAGTGGATACACGAACATCATGTTATACAGGAAACCTACCAGAAAAGATGCTACCAGAATCTTTTTGATGTATTACAGCAGGAATCACTGTTGCTATTTACACTTTAGCAGTAGGAGAAAGGAAGAATAGTCATTGACTTGAATGGGTTCCTGGAAGTCATCTTGTCCAATCTTCTGATCAATACATATTCTGCAGTACTGGAATGTGGCTACAGCAGCCTTCCCCAAACTCCCACACTTTCCAGGGTCCTGTTGCAATGTGGGACTGTGGGAGTTGCAGCCTCACTACATCTGGAGAGTGTCAGATTCAGAAAGGCTGAACTAATTAAATGTTCCAGTGAGGCAAGTTCACCATTTCTGCCTAGCCCTTGCTGTTAGAAAATTTTTCTTAATGTATTTAGCCTTTATCTACTTGCCAACAATTTTCACCGATAACTTGTAGTCATGCCCTGCTTCAGAGGCTGGGGAATTCTGGGAATTGAGGTCCACACATCTTAAAGTTGCCAAGTTTGCGAAACACTGCTCTAGACTTCAGTTCTTTTGACTGTTTCTCATAGGACTGGCTTCCAGATCATGCTCCTGCTTAATCACAACTCAACTGAAGTACTAACTTTTCCCTGTTTTCTACTGGGACAGGTATGCCCTGTCTCTCTTCTAGGGCTTCAGTGCGCGTACATATTCCAATTTTTCTCCACAACAGCCCTGTGAAGTGGGCTGAGGTGAGATTGAGTAATCCTGAATTTCCAGGGCGGAAGATGAATTTGAAACAGGGCCTCCAAAGGTCCTTGCCCCAATACACCTAACCATCACAACGTTCTGGCTCGTGTTTCTACCCATTGGTGGAAAAGTCTCTCCTTCGCCGTTCAAAAAAGCATTAAAAACTAAATTGGAAGTTAAGCC